GGTCATCGACTGCTCCCTACTATTCGGTAAAACCGGCCAAATATCAATTTTCTTCTGTCACGATTCGGTAAATAAGCTGCAAAATTGGCTTGATCATTCTATGCTAGACAATTTGCGTGTGTGTACAGCGATTTCGAAGAACAAGAAAAAGTATACAGCCGGTTCAAAATTTAAACGCGTGCTTTTTACGATGACATCATCGTGAAACGGTGGCCTTATAAACAGGAACTTTTAATATTGGCACAATGCACAAAATTTATACGAATGTGGTGGTTTCGAGAGGACAATAGTGTCTCATTTTAAATAGGACATGAAGATCCAGTCTAACCGCAAGATTGAAAATTTATAGACACTGACACATTATAGTGCATAGCATTTTTCAAATCGAAAACTATTAAGTGTACAAATTAGCAATGTATTAAAATAAGCTTTAAATATTATGATAACATAATAATTTTTTGGTTGGAATTTCTCAATTACTTAGCACCTACGGAACAAAATTAAAATACAATTACTTAGGTTCTTTAAAACTTAGACCAAATTTTAACATATTTAAATTAAATGTAATTAAACTGACTTCATTTAGTCCGAGTCCAAAGCCTGATTACTCCTACGATGTGACAATTTATACAACATTCTCTAACAAGCCCACACACGCTCTGCCCACAAAAATATTTAACATTTTTTTTTATCAATGAGTTCTCACCTTACAATGCGTTTTACCAAAGGCAATAAGGCTCATAAATGTGTTGAAGTGTATTATCACTATTACGTACAATATCTTCCAAACAAGAGAAAATCACAGGTATCATTTCCAGTTCCTAATTCAAAACAAGTGTACTACTCATAAACACGGTTTTATGGAAAAAGAAATTCGAGGTCACTGGCATAGCAACGCTTTATGTGGTTAATGGCATAATCACGTTTATGTGGACGGTCAGGTTTAAGTAGACATTGGGGCCCTTACAATTTAGACATCTTAACCAACGGGTTATGAGAACGAAATTACTGTTCACATCAAAACCAAGTGTTAGTCATATATGAATGATTCCCTTCTCATTATGAATCATTTGCCATAAAATGTTAAATGCTCTTTTATAGCTCATTCGTGACTAAATTTCGTGCCTCGTAGTCTTAAGAAATTCATCACGACATTATAATCAATCAGGTGATAGTAAAATCCATCTATCTTTCAATCTAATTTGACATAAAACATCACGAAAAATTTTCAACGCTCAGTTTTGAAGAAAATATTAAAGTACTTCGTCGGTTTGATGTAAGTTCGTATTGGTTTACATCCTATATTCAAAAATTATATCAACAATGACACGAATGATGAAACCAGTAAAGTTAGACGGCCAACAATAAGTTCATTTTCGGATTTTGTTGATGAACCAGTAAAACTTTTTTTTAAGTTTAATAATAATGTCGACAAAATCATATGCAATATTTCTATTCAAAATACGAATCATAACCCATTCCAAACGTCAGCCAATGGTTATCCTTTATATAATGTGGCCATATATTCGTGTTATCAACAATGAACATTGGTTTGTTTCACTTGAATCATTGGTTCCGACAACTATGACGGCTATCCAGGCCGCTCTTACAAAACGGTGGCTTAACTAGTTCATGGACTACAATAGATAATAAATGTTGCATAAAACCTGCTCTCTTCAGATCCAATTGTAGTTTTATTACGTATCAAGTATTAATTTTCCTTAGCCAAACTTTGTCCTTAAATTCATAAAGCCTCATTCACACCAATTACCACTTCTTAATTTCAAAGACTAAAACAAGTTACATTCATTATTACGCACAAAAGAAAGTTTAGCAACCAATGAAATATTGAATTGAATATCGTATCCAATGTTGCTCTCACCACAAGGTCTAATAATCTTCATACTTTTAGATCCATTAAGTCATTCGAGGGGGTCAATGAAATATAAACAAGCGCAAGAAAACATTAACCGTAAAAGTGGGTATTCCGTTGTTAACTATTTAATAAAAAAATATGTACTTGTCGGAAAAATTGACAGAGCAACAAAAGGAACATAATACGTAAACGGCGATCTCTCTTTAAGCGTAGCCGCGTTGAGTAAGCATTATGTGTTTAGCGGCAGCGCGCAGCAAATGGGTGCATTTCACAACTGGCAAGTGTAGCGCGGAATGCGGCCCAGCCGTTGATATCGGCCTTGCATCTTGCCAGCGTCGGCCACTCTCGCGCACTTCTAGTTTACAGTGTTGAAGCTAAACAAACAGTGCCACAGTGTTGTTTTCGCATAATACTTGAATGTAGAGACACAGTTCCCATTTTCGTTTTTGATCGATGTGCAAAATGGCATGAAAGCGCAAACGGCCCACCAAACCAAGTCGAACATCCTAAATAAGAGTCAATTTCAATAAGTACGGAGTTCAACCTTAAGACTCCAATAGACATAAAAGAATTTATTGCTAACCAAGTGCTAAAAGATGTCTATGAGTTTTAATTCCCTTTTTTTTTAAATCAAATATATTCAACATAACTTAACCTTAACTTGCCCATCTTCATTAAATTCATTATCACCCAAATAGATAAATCTCCTCATTAAAGTTGTGTATTTTGCTTGTACGTTGACCATATATTAGCTTGAAAAACGATAGGAGATAGTTCTATGAAGAAAATATTAGCCTTATTTTGATTTGATTTGAAATGGAGAAATGGTTGATGGTTCATGTTAAAAAGTACTTCTCTTCCTACCCTATAAGTCAAAGGCTTGGAAATAAAATTAATGTTCAAATTATCTTTATTTGTATATTTAAATCTCTATGTATACATTTAACGGCTAAAAACAAGTCTAGTCTTGACTATTTTAATTACCTTCATGAATTAATTTGTTAGCGAAATATTATTATATTCTTTATTGAACACCAAAAAAAAAACATGAAAGGAAATGTTACAGAACTATAAATAATGATTAAACAATGAAAGCAACTCTCAACCTATTGGCTTAAAAATATTATTAAATACATTGTCAACATCTTAACAATACTGTTTATTAAATTAACATAGGAATGAGCTTGACTTATGATTTAATGTTTAGGATTTTTTTACACAAAGTTTTTCTGAATAATTAACATGGGTTATGTAACAATAGTAATACTATCACAAATGGGGTGGGATAAGTTGTAAGAAGTACAGGATATACCTATATTGTAATTTCTATCTACCAGTTTACTCGAATTATAAAACTTATTTTAAATGGTTCATTGCATTTTATTTATAATAAGAGATAAAATTAAATCTAATATATAAAATTCTCGTGTACGGTGTTCGTAATTGAACTCCTCCGAAACGGCTCGAACGATTTTCGTTAAAATTTGTGTGCATATTGGTTAGAGTGGAGAATCGGGACAAAATCTATTTTTCATCCCCCTAAATGTTAAAGGGTGGTCCACCCCTAAATTTTTTTTCTATCCTACAATTCATTTATATGGCAAAACAATGTTTGCCGGGTTAGCTAGTTATGGTATAAAAATGTAAACAGCTCATATTCATTTTGTAATGAGTAAATAACCTATGTTATAAAGAAAATTCTAGTATCATATATTAATTATAGTTGCCTAAAACAAAGCCCAATTGAGGAACCCATTAGTTGTTCCCTTTAACCTATTACTAACTCACTTAGAATTCCAAGGTTACAATTTAATCTTATAAAGGGATTTACCAAAGAATCAACTTACAATGTCGTAATTAACTACATTATGTTTTATATAGTAACATTCTTGTTACTATAAAACAATACAAAACTAATCAAAATATACAAAATTTAATTAATGTATATAATGATGGCCATTAAGTAATTGTGTTTTGAGTAAAAAGTTTATCAGTAAACATAATTAGTACTTACTTTTATTTATAGGAATATACTACATAATAATTATGTGTTATAATTGATTGTAAATATATATACAATTTGTCTGTACCATTCACATACTTTTTTATACTTGTTATATGATACTGTTACGGATTAAAATGTCATTAACAGTAGTTAACACCAGTGCTTTTTCATTTTTAGGGTTCCATACCCAAAGGGTAAAACGGGACCTTATTACTAGCTGATAGACTCTGCTGTCTATATATCTGTCTGTCACCTGTATCTTATGAAACTTGATAGTTAGAAAGTTTTAATTTTCACAGATATATTTCTGTTGCCTCTATAACAACAAACACTAAAAAACAATAAAATAATACATGGCGCCCATACAACAGACATGATTCAATTACTGTTTTTTTAGATAATGGTACGGACCCCTTCATGCGCGAATCAGACTCGCACTTGGTCAATTTTTATTATAAGCAGGGATATTTAATGTGGAAACCTGATATGCAAGATAATGCAAGCTCTATAAATTGCACACATATCTGATAACAACTCCATATGATAAAATATGATTATGTTACAAAATTAATGTTTATGATTACGGTTTACTCATATTAGTTTTGTAACAAATACCATGAACATTTGATTACATCTAAATATATGAGTACCCAAGTTATTTTAAAAATTGAGAAATATTTATTGAATACGTAATCAAATATTTGTATACCCGCTTAAATATAACTGTACTAACGGAAGTGATAAAACTTATACAAGTTATCGAAACAAGTTTATTAAATCGCTTGTATGTGGTTTTAATTGTAAAGAAGACCAAGCTCACACTTTCTAGTATTTTATCTTTCAATTTCATTAGAAACTGATGCGAATTAAGTAAAGAGTGATCACAAAATACATATTCAACTTTCAATAATTCAACTTTCCAAGTCTTATTCATAACGAGTTACGAAATTTGTTGTTTTATATTGATCCTTATTTTCAAGCTATTGTATTATTAGCAATATATACTTTAAAAAAGAGTTTAAAACTTTAAATTAATTAAGAAACTTTAATGTAGTTCGTAAAATCAAAAGTTTGTCACTAGGTAACTAGAAGAAAAACGAAACAATTTTGTTCACTTACCCAAAGCTCAGTACCCCAATTCATTGTCACGGCAGTGATGTCACCCAAATTTCACTAAAAACATTGAAAATTCACTAGCACAGTAATTGAAAATGTAATAACGAATTATATACAGAACTTATTATTTTTATCACTAAATTGAAAAACCACCATTTCAAACACAAAACATGGCTGAGTGACTAAACCACAGATTAACGAGGTAAAACAACTGACATATTCACTCCCATGACATACAAACAGACTACCAAAAATGCCAAAGAAAAAGTCGGTACTGGTGAGTACTGACATTTATCGCTAATGTTGCTACATGCAGAACGTCAACATTATTAAAAGATGTTTTGACGTCTGTGCCGGTATTGCTACTTAAAATAAAAATGAATACGCAAAATAAAACTTGGCTGATATCTTCGTACTCGTAAAGATTTTAAAATTTTTATTGTATTTATTTACCCATCCAATTTAAAAGTTTTCTTGAATATTCATTAATATATTAAAAATAGCTCAGTGTCCGGGTGCCTATAGTTAAACATACTCGAGCCACATAAGTTTGATTGCCGGTGCCAGCGCCAATAAAATTGTTACTTTTAAGTGCTGACTTATTGCGTGCCCAGTGGTTAAGGAAAACATCGTGCAGAAACCTGCTCATTTTCTAAATAATAACAAAAAAAAATATTTCGAAGATATGTGAAGTTCTCACATCCGCAGTGGGGCCCCGTAGTGGACTTTGCCCATATACTCTCTGTTGAGAGAAGGCCTTTACCCAGCAATGGGATACATAAATGCTGTTACTTTACGTTTACTTTAGATGTTATCATAATTCTTATTAACACTGCGTCATTTTTATTTCAATCACGAGTCAATAGTGCGTTATTCCACCCCTTCTGCTTCAAAGTGAGTGTTTGGCAAGAATAGGTACTTTACCCAACATTATTTTCCCTATACACTAGTTTATCCCCAGGACCCATCGAGCTGGCATTGTACGCCAAAGTCATATTCTACAGTAAACACCCTAGGTGAATGCTTGAAAAAGTGACGGATCGAGATGAACCTAGAGAAAAGTAGTGCTCGCACATGAGGATTGAATACGCTATGAATACACTTAAAACTACTTTAAGTGACTTAAAACAAGATTCTGATCGCGCAACTGGTCCCACGTGGAATAACCCTATCCACCTTTTTTAAATATGCGTCAACCACGCTTCAACAAAACTTTAGTAGAATAAATGGCAATAGACGATCTTCGGCCGCAGTAACCATCGCACGAACACGAATCTGAGACAGCACCGTCTTTGACACGTTTTAATCGATTGCAACGAAAAATTAATGCGTGCGCTTAGTTCGCATTTACTAACAACACTCCCGCAGTGGTCGGCAAAGACAAACATGAATTAGGGACTCACACAGTACTACCGCTAAAAAGGCTTATGTGATCTTCCGCCCATATACTAGAATCAATATTAATACATGTTTTATACTAAAATGTTTATATTTTATGTTTATAACAATGTCTGTTCTATCGGCGCTATCTTAGTAAGCCAGATGCATAGTAATATTCGTTATGAATGAAATTTTAAAAATATTTTTCATAAGTTACGAAAAATGTAATGTTTAAAAAAAAGGCGCACATGATATAAAGAAAACGGAACTACGTAAAAAGGCAGATGGTATTTTACACCTCTATACGAGGTTTTCGTCGTTAGTCCTAGAGTTATAAAAATAAATTTCGTTGTAATGAAATAAAATTTTTAACTCACTAATGTAATGCAATGAGAAAATATATAACTGTGTCTTACTTGGACATTCCGTGTCATTTTTTTGGCGATGAGGCTTGTCTTCGAGATTTAAATCAGTGCTGTTGTGTTTATTTATGATTTTATCTATAATTTCTTGGGCTCTTGTAAATTGAACACCTGTTTTTGGTATCATTTTCGTTTAAAGCAGCTAAGTTATAAATTAATTTTCGCTAAAAAGGCTATTATAAAAGAAAATCGCCAATAACTGAGTAAAACGACTGAAGCGGTACCTCCCTTGGCCACATCTCCAACGCAATTACTCTACACCGTACATGGACCGATCGTTCCATGGGGCTTTATACGCGACTAATTTGTGGACATACGCCTATTTGCTTAAAATGCTTAGATTTTTTTGTTTTTTATTTTCATAGAATAGGGCAAGATGAACTAATTGCCCTAATAGTCGGAAAAAGGCGTAAGCGGCAGTTTCCCCCTTTACGTAGGAGCCATCGATTTGAGGTTTTGGGTTTTTGCGGATTCGCAGTGGCATGGGCTAACAGCACAAATATTTATAAAAATATGTTATATATTTTTTTATTAATTTTTATTTTTAGTGTTAGTCGCTGCACTTGAGATGAAACTTGAAACTGTAATTTTTTGTAGATAAATAAACACGAGTCTTCTAGTTGCACGTCCAGACTCTTCATCAACTATGCTAAGGCTGCTTAGTTCAGTTGGTGAAGCGTCTAGCGAATCCCGCAGCACCGAAAGTGTTTGTTCATTTATCTGCAAATGTTTATATTATTTTGCAAAACATTATAAGAATAATAATTTAAAATAAATAATTCAAAATAAAAAATTTATGAGCGAGTGTCGAGTTAAATATTTATTATAATTAATTTAATAACAATTACATGTCATCATCATCATTCGACACATATATTTTAATGCGACGTTGGATATTCATATAACGAGGTTGCAGCAGCGATCCATCAGAACGACGTCGTACTAACGCGGTGCGTCGCACTTCCTGTAAAAATAGCATAGTGCATTCAAAAACCGTTATCATTTTTACGGTGAATTTATCGCATAAATTTTACACATAGAGGAACATACTTAAAAATATCTATGAAGTGACTTAGTAATGTGAATGTTTCTTTCGGAATATTATAGTAAGCAGGTGGCGCACGACATAAAATTATCGCCTATCTTGGTCATCTATAACAGCTGTAGCGTTGCAGTTCCTCATCAAAAGATATATGTACATATAAAAGTACACAATAACTTTCGCAAACTTTCCTTCTCCTATACAATCCAGCCTACCCTTGGTGTTCCTCAAGGCTTCTGCCTCTCTGCTTTTTTCAATCTACACGAGAGAATTTCTTAAAGACCTCAACCTTTTCGCGGACATTGCTCTCGTCTATTCGGACTAACACCTTGGTCAAATCACTCTTCGCCTCCAAATAGATTCCTATCAACTCGGTGACTAGTTGCTCATTTGGAAAATAGTTATTAACCCCGACAAAAGTTTTGCAAAAAACTTCAATCTGGTCTACCCCGCAGACGACTCCTACCTCCCAATGATCCAAACTCGTCCAAGCGGGAAGCTAGGGAAAATTACATTATATTGATCCCTTGGGAAAAGAAGGTCAAGTACCTAGGAGTTACTTTTGATTCCATATTGACATTCGCCACACATTTTAAAAACATAGAGGACAGAGCCACGTTAACTTCAGGCCCGCTTTATAACCAGCGATAAATATCCATATCGATCCTCGATGGCCAATTGAGTGAAATATCTCCCAGCGTAGAATGCCGTGGGTTGTGGCTAGCCCAAGAGGTCTGCGTTCGGTGAAGCTTTAATAGTCTACCGACTGTAAGGAAAAACATTAAAGAGTTAAAGTAAAGTAAGCTTTTGCGTGCCCGTAACACATTAAATACTAAGTTTTGATCCGATGTTAGTGTGTAAGTAATATATAAGTATTCTTAAGTAATACAAATATATTATTATACGGTTTTTTATTCAAAATATATAACTATTCATTCATTCAAAATCATTTTTTATTTTTCATTAATTTACTTTTGTTCACTTACTTTGACCGGTTCCAATACTGCATGGTAGCTTGATCTCCTTGAGGTTGATACACACGTTATAGAAGAAGCGCGAGACGATTGTGAAGGACTCTGCATAATTTAAGTGAATGATATTGATAATGTCAGACTTATATTTTATTAGTTAATTTCTGTTAAAACTTGTGTAGGGCTTAATAAATATAAGTAAAAATATTGAGTGTACCTTAAGCGGTGGTACGAAACCAAAATCAGATGGCAAAGGTTGTGCTTGAATATTGTAGGTACCCTCTTCTGAAGTAACAGACACAATGGATGGTCGAGCAGATAACTGTTGGGCTAGAAGTACAGGATCAGCATCTGAAATGTTGAATATTAATATTACATGAAGCTAAAAATATTTTCCCTTCAAAATATCTCTGAAAAGTAATACAGATAATATCTGCTTAGAACTGAGAACGGTGGGTTATCTAGGATAAAACACGTATACTCAGCCAAACTAGTAGGTAAATAATATATACAAAGGAAGCCCAACTAAAAACCTTAAATGTTTATGATGAACTAAAGTTTATTCAACATATAACTATTTAATATACATACCGATGTTCATTCCCTTTGCAACTCGCCTTGCTTGCACCACTCTTCCCGCGCTTCTTCTAAATCTTATTCCTTTTTCTGCTTCTTTTCGCAGTCTTTGTGCTGCAGCTGATGATTCAGCAATAGCCATGGCAATAGAACTCATTCCTGATCTTTTTAAGTTTATATCCAACAAGAAGCTCAGGCATATTGCGTTCGACAACGTCATGTCACTAGGCTGAAAAAAATTAAATGCAGTTTGATAACTGTCTGTAATGTTAACTAATAACATAAATAAGACAATATTTTACTAAGTGACAGTTATAAATTACAACCCAAATGGTAGAAGTTCTTAGATTTTTACATCACTTTGTTTATAATAAAAAATATCCTAAACCTACATACCGATCCAATATCATTGACACTTATATCTAAAGACCTTAAGGGCGTTTTCACCAATCCAATCGCTCTTGCTAATAAATCTCCACAGGTTGGAGGACTGTCAACATTAATGGCAGACCAAACACCAGCCGGTGGTTTCTGTACTGGACCAGGCTTAATACCCACAACCGGATATATTTAAACTGTAAAATGCAAATCATAACATAATTATGTTTTATGACATGGCAAAGAGATGCGCAATAGTTGATCTATGTACCTAATACATGGACATATGACATCCTGAATGATAACATCTTTCTATGGTGTAAGACGTCAGCTTTCCACCTTGTTTTACGTTAAGCAATAAAGCAGTCTTTAAGATTAGAGAATCTAGCAAGGTGAACAGATATGAAAACAGAATTTAAAAATTTTTAAAGTGCTAATCTCTGCACCTAAGATGAAACATTAAAATTTGTTGAAGGATGGGCGAAAAGTCTTTCGCCCCTGCGGGAATCGAAACCACGTCTAAAATTTTTAATAACAATGGAAGTTAGCCTCACCACGGCATGGGCTTCTAAGCAATTGGTATTATTAAATAGTAAGTACTTATTTCTTGATGAAGATCAAGGCTTAGGTTTCTCATGTGTATCAAACGAAGGAGTTACAAACTTCAATTTCAAAAGTAATTGATTGCAATGACTGTTGAAAGCAAGATTTGAGCTAATATATTCATATTAGCTCAAGATTTACTGGCATCAATTATTTTTATTACTCGTAGATAAAACTATTAAAAAGTCGTTTTTGTCTTTCAAGGCTTCTCGCTTTTGTCGCATGAGGAATTTAATATACCAGAAATACCACGTGCAATATATGGCTACACGTTAGGATTTAGTTATTATAAAAATTCTAGTCCCTGCGTCACATAGGCTTTAATTAGATTGCATGTAAATATGGACCGACATTACGCTGCCGCCAGCATACCCGCGGTGGAGACTACTTAAAGCCACCGGCTCCTAGGGAGCTTTACTGGCCAATTAAGGGGTTCACCCCAATCGCTCATGATACATGAGGCCCCTTTTCTGTTAGGGGAACACCGTTCAACATTTCCGTTTGGAGGGCCGTGACGAAGGGCATGGACGCGTCGGTGGCCCCGGCTCTGAGTGGGATTTGTTCTCTCTCGATACCGCTCTGTACAGCCTCTTTCTGGACTATCAACATCTCACAGAGAGATGATACGGCGCTCCATGCCGTTTCTCCTCTCATCATCGCCGATACAACTGCTGGCAGATTGAGGTTTCGCCCAAGCCCAAAGTACCTAATATTCCCAGATCTGTATGGTCGTCTATATTAAAATTGTGTATGTTAAATACCTCCATACAACAAAAGATTAATGCACATTGGTAGGAATTTTTAAAATCGAAAAGTAATTACGATGTGAGGTTGCATCCTCTTGCAATAGAAACTGCTATATGAGCAATACCATCGGAACCAAGTCTATTATTCAGTCGTAAATCCAAATTCCTTAGACCACAACTAGAATTGTTAAGGACATGTGCAATATATTCCACCCCATTGCGACCTGAAATTAAAATTAAAAATGTACTTTATACAGTTTTAAATTATACCTAGATATACAATAACTAAATTTCGAAATGGTAACTAAAAAGCGCCCTTGTAAACGTCATCCCGTTTTCTACTTGCGTTTCTTTAATAATAAACAATAGTTTAGTGAGCTATTAATTCTCCATTTAATTCAATAAACAAACAAAATATAGCCATATTATCATTCTCTAGGCCTTTAAGAACTAAGTCTCACGCAATGAATATTATAGTATAAAATATCATTGGTCTCACGTAATTAAATAGGTATACATATTCTATGTTTTAAAAGGAGAAGAAAAAAAGCTATACCTATAATTAAAAATTACCTACCAAAAATATTGTCCGCTAAAACCAGGCTCCGAAGTTTGTCGCACTTCGAAATAAATTTTGCAATAAATGAAACCCCTTCATCTTCGATTTTGCAGTGACTAAAGTCTAAGGTTTCTATGTTTGTATTGTCCGATAAACCCCGTAAAATATACTTTACTCTTTGACAATTCAAGTCACTCCTCGTAATCCTGAAACGTCGTTAATTAATGATAAATTTATATTAAAAAATATGAAACATAAGTTGATACAACAACTTCATCAAATTATGAAATGAACATTTATAACATTAATAATTTAAAACGAACTCCCATTTTCCTATACTGTGATGAATACCTTAAATTCGAATAGTTCAGACATTTTTATTACAAAAGAACATTGCATAGTCATAATAATGTTGAGAGCTAGATAAAACTTTTTTTTCTTCATGAGAACTCGTTGTAATTTTTTTATATCCTGTGATCATCACCATCATCTATGATACGATAACTTAATTCTATACCTGAGTACTTTTATGAAGTTGCATTTTTCCAAACCATGTGCCAAATTTCTCGCATCATTGTTAGTGAACTGAAATTGATCCCTTCTGTAGTCTACGCCAATAGAACTCAGTTGATAGGTTACATGTAGTTCCGTTAAATTATTTAAGCTGCCTAAAGCTGCATGTAATGATATATGATCTTAAAACATAAAATGTAATATTGAACAACAAATAGGACGTTATTGTAAAATTAGTTATAATTATTTTGCACTCGACCTCTACTTAGCTCCTCGCTACTTTTTGCAGATTTTTTTCCATTCTGCTGTCCGCTGGTAATCAAATCAGCCATTTCCGGAGAGATAGTCCTCTGTACAGGAATGTCAGTAGGAACCAAATTTTTAATATACAACGATTGTATGTACGGTCCACAAAGTTTAACCAAATTCTTAACCTGGAAACATAAGTTTACTTGTATTTTTTTCCAAAAACTTAATAATTACCCATGTTGATTCGTGAGAGTACCTTTTCTGGGTCGTATTGTTTTGGATTCATGTTTTCCAACACGTCGGCATAAAAACGCTCCATAAATATATTTATCCAAGGCTTTCGTTCTGGAGTTAAAATAGAATCGTTCCATTTAGAATAATAACATCGCTTCCAAAACATATCACTCTTTATATTGTCAACCAGAATTTGAAGTGGAATATCAGTTTTCAGAATTTGTAAGAATAGTTCACGATCTTTTGCAATAAATATATCTAACTTTGGAGATCCTATAAAATTTTTAAAGTTAATTAATTAAGGAAATTTGCTATTGTTTTACAAATATTTCTTAAATTACTTACCAACCCAGTTTTCGCTCAACTTTTCAATACAAATGGAGGACAGAGATTTTGGATAGTTAGAAGCCCAATCGAAATTTTCTGACTGGATTTTCCGTTGAGGTTCTAAATTTTTATCATGTTTGTATGCTAAATACGTATTCATAGAAATACTTCCGTGCAATTTCATTTTTCTTATACTTCTTTTCTATTAAAAAATACTAGGTGGTGCTAAACAATCAAAAATATAACATAAAAATTAATAAAAGTTGGTAACCACAGTCACCGCTATTGATTAAATAGGTTCGAGTGAGCTTCCATATCCGCTTACTGCGATGGTTTTTCAACTAGCATGTTCAAGATAACGATCTAACTATTGAAGAGTGACACTAAATGTAAAAATACAATTACTAATAAAGTACAATAAATAATATAATTTAATGACCTGATCAGATTATCCGAAGAAACTTTCATTGAAGAGGCTTTCAGTAAAACGTAAGTAACCTGGAATCTTTTTATTTTATTTTTATTGAGAATTACCAAATCAGAATTTATTAATAAATAATTTATTTATTTTCAAATCAATGGTCCAAGTGGTGTGATTCAACATGCTCCAGCTATTTATTTTGTTTCCATACATTCAGTGATTTTAACATGTGTTTTCATTCACTATAAAAAGGAAGGCTTAACGCAAAATGAGGACAATGCGTTCGCTTACTTAAAAGGAACAAATATTAAAAACCTCCAAATTAAACTGTATTAAAAATCCCTGTCCGTGTTAGAAACCACCAATAGGCTAACTATTTCACTAATACTGGAAACAGTTTTTAATTGTTCTTTTTTACATTACTAGCGACCCGCTCCGGGTTCACACGGGTGCAGTGAAGATACTAATGTGCCAGTATGGAGTGATTAATAATAATATGCTTAGTCTATACTAAAGGATATCTTAACATACAATAATTACAGTAAACATGTTTTCTTTGTAGGTTACTCTGGAAAGTGCGGTTCCAGAAAACTGATACTTAAACATACTTTTCTTTTGTAAATAAATATATATTATACATATATAAACAACGAGAATAGTGGTGGGGATTGAACCCACACCCTCTGGCCGCTGGCGCAGAAGGCATTCACACTACCTACTAAGCCATTCGGGTTGTCATATACAGCGTGTCTTTACCACCGCGACAATAAATGAACATGAACATTCTTTAATCATCAATATTTACAGAGTTATTAAATTTTCCACAACAAAGCATTTTAGAACATCCTTACATATAAAACTGTAACGTAAAGTTCATTTGTAAAGGTCATAATGCATAATTATGAATGGGTTGAATGAATTTAAAAGAGACAAAACATACTGTTAGAAGGAGCGGCTTGTAATGCGACGCTGTGGGAACGAATGAAAGAGTCTCTGAATGTATGAATCAGTCAGTTGTAGTCATAAAGGTGTTACAAATTTTGTTCCTTTTATACTTAATTAGATTTTTTGAATTTTTTTTTTTAATTATGGATTTCGTTTAACGTTAATATTTTTTTATGATTATTGGCAAGTAGCGTTAGATGTGTGTTCATTTATTGTCGCCATGGTAACGACACGCTGTATAGCATCGCGGACTTTTTAAGATATACTATAACTACAATTCCGAATTACATTAATTCGATCTATCTCGTAAGGTTTAACTAGCTCGTTTGCAATGTAAGCGCACAAAATATGTTTGTTACGACATCACTTTACAAATATTTGAATTCCCGGTTTTCTGTCTATAATATGCATGTATACACCACATTTAGCCATTGAGCCGTGATAGCTCAGTGTCCGGGCGCTCGCCTTTATTTCAATATACTCAAGCAACCTGAGTTGGTAATTTTAAGTGCTGACTTATCACGTACTCAGCGGTGAAGGAAAACATCGTGAGGAAACCTGCATGTTTTCGAAATAATAATAAAAAAATACTTAAAGATGTGTGAAGTCCACCAATCCACAGTGGTGCCGCGTGGTGAACTATGTCCTGATACCCTCTGTACAGAGTAAGCCTTTGCCCAGCAGTGGGTACATACATGTATATATAGGCTGATACTTTACTTTTTTTACCACATATAAACATTGTGCTTGAATCACTATCAATTTCTGAAATCTACATTAAAATCCGATGCGTAGTTTAAAAGATCTAAGCGATCTGTTTTATATTACCTATGTAAAGATTAGCTTAATAAATTGATATTCTTAAAGATCCACAAAGATCCAAATCCACACTGAGGTTAAAGTTTTTAAAACCACTCCATATTTTTTTTTCCATAATGGTACTGGTTACCTACATGGCGATCATGTACCAACACTGACTTCACACCCAAGTAAACAAGTTTATATACCTACACAATAAAAGAGCGTAGCTGAAGTGAAATTCATAATTTTATTATATATTTCATCATTTCAGAAAAACAATGTTTTCCCCTTTTTTACCATCTACGGTTCCAGCGAATGACGAAAGTATGATTATTATTATGATTAGATATAGAAAGTATTATAACCAAAAGATGAAAAGTATGATTACCTAACTCAAACAGACACAAAGATTTCAAAACATTCCAATATTTTTATGTGTGATGATCACTTTAATGTAAGTATTATATAACTAATAATATCTATTAGATGGTAGCTAAAAATTTAGCGGTTTAACTTTGATCCCTTAAGAGAAACGCAAAACCCTTGTTTGGGACGCTACTTGTATAGACACTTTGGCTGCCTCTCATCTAAGGGGTACTCTCTAAGGAGTCGGGGCCGGGGCTGCATCGGAGGCATCTGAAGTAAGTAAATGTCGCAAATATAATTCTTTATGTTTAGATTATGTATTTGTGCCATTTGCTGTTGAAACTTTAGGTCCGTGGGGTCCCCGCACATCAATTTTTTTTTAACTTTATGTCCTAGGCTTAACGCCGCGGCTGGTTAAAAAAAAGAGAGCTGGTTCTTTTCTCGCTTAAATGTTAAGCATAACAATTCAGCGAGGAAATGCATATTAGATCAATAAACTGTATGAAATAATTTAACGGCTTAATAAATAAGTTGTATTAGCTAGGAGTGTTGCATAACAATTATATAAACAGTCATTGGTACTTCTCCGACTCTCTATTCCTTATGCACCACCATCATAGGTACCTCTTTTTTTATTAACTTTGGAAAAATGCCTTCGCATACCCCCCACCTGGACCCCACCTGGACCCCAGCCAGGTGGGGTCACGTTGGACTCGCACTAAAACCGACTAAAACCTCCATGATGTAAACCCATATGGCCACAGTCTCGTATTCCCATATTTCCAAGATTTATAATTTTAAAGATATACCAGGGACATTGCGTTTAAAGGTCGAGATTCATAGCCTGCACACAAACTCTTTGCCGCGTTTGCATCCCTTACGGCTATTTATGTTATTAATAGTGAGTTTAGGTACATGTGCTATGTAGCTCATCACGTACTTAACTAATTACTAGAATTTATTAATATTTATGGTTTCCGTGTATATTGTATATTGTCGTTAATATTGTAATTTGTAAATTATTTAATTTTCGTAAACTAATTAAGTACTTTCGTAATTTAATTTCCGTAAGCCATCGTCGAAGTTGGTATGAATCAGCGATTCAATAGAAATTTCAACCTCATTACTTCCTCTGGATATATTCTACTGTATATCTGAATCGTGCCCCGTTATTATTTAAATTTCTTTATCATCAAGTTCGTCATTTGTTAACAGGGGTCGCGGAGATGCAGCGGAACGGATAGCGTCATCGTGTAGTCGTCGTGCACCTTCTAAGTTGTTCCCCTGAATATGCCGTCGTCTGCCTGCGGACTTTTTCCTACAATGCTGGCAATTCGTCAACAGAAACTTCTCTAGAAAAAATTACTAACAGTCTTAGGAACTTTTTTTAATATGACAATCACCTGTCAAAAGTCATCTTAAGTATGACGTTTTCGTTAACTCTACTGCTTGTACCTACCTTAGCACTGAGTTTTAGTTTTTAATCTAATGTCCTTAAACGAAATGACAATATAAAAATATATAACTAGCCTCTAATTAAGTATATTCCGTATAATTCAATAAAATGGATAAACATAACAGTTCAGAGTTATTAAATTCAGACTTTCCTCTGTCCAAAAATGCAAGCTCTGATTCTTTGGATTCGGACTCAAAATCGAGTTCATTGAATTCCAAACACGGACAAGACTCCGTAAGTTTCCTAAAAGGATTAATTTATTCTTCTTGAGTGATATAACTGTTGCTTGGTCACTTCCTGAAGGACTCAATGGGAGTTTCCTATAGATTATTTATTGCTAATGGCTGTCACGAACTTTTAGTGTTTTAACAGCCTAGCATCAGTATACAACTAATGCGAAATGAGTAAAAACAAAGCAATTCACGTTTGTTTATTTGTTAATCACATTCGAAGGCAAAGAGAATATAATGAAATCACTAAGGCTGGTATTTCTTGGCTTGTGCTTGAACAATATTTAGTTTGAATAATAGGTCACAACTTCTTACTTGTTAATTATTTCTGAAGCTTGTGTATGGATAGTGAGTTTGTTTCGGATTGTCTTGGTATAAACCAATTAATAATACTTAATGTTCTTTATTTCCAGTCACAACTGTTAGGGGATATCCAGTTATTAGATGGAGAAAAGGTGATGGGTGTGGCCAGAGATGTGACTTACCTTTGTCCATATAGTGGACCGTCTCGAGGAGTTCTTAAAGTCACAAACTATCAGCTCCACTTTCGTCCAACAGAAGCTACTGCTTTACAGACAATATTAAGTGTTCCTCTTGGTGTAGTGAGTACTATTTGTTAACTGATATAATTTATACAATACATATTTGTGAATGTAAAGCATTGTAATGGTAATCTGATAATCATATTCAGTTCAAAGAGTTTTTTTCAGATATTACTAGACAGTTCATTGATAAAACGACAACCCGAATGGTGTTGTGGGTAGTGTACCTGCCTCCTGTGCCTCCCTCCTCCTGCCCTGCCTCCTGTTATATATATATATATATATATATATATATATATATATAAGCCTATAAAAGCATTGGCTTAATAAAAGAAGGCACTAGAATAAACAAATGTCATGTCTATAAGATAACCAGATAACTAAGTCAAAATACCTTCACTAAAACTATGTTTGAGAGATAGACTTAACATTTATTAAATTTGCCAAGAATAGAAATTTTATTATCCTATTGAATATAAATTAGAAGACGCATCACATGTGATGTGATCAGAGAGAAAATAATAACATTTGATTATTTTTTTTTTGTTAAAGTAACTGTTTCTGAAGATTTCAGAAATGTTGATTAAAGAAATTGTAAATGAAAAATGTGTGTCCATAATATAAACAATTACTCAGAGGACAATGAGAAATGAAGGTATACTAAAATGAAAATTAAATAATTATTATATGTATATCATATATTCAATTCGTCAGACTTACTATGCAATCTTGATATTTCAAAGTTTATTCTAGAAAAATATGTTAATCATTTGAAAAGGAAACTTCAAATGCATTCTTTATCTGAAAATTTCTTTATACATAATACTACATGGTTGATCTATTTGTATTTTTTATTATTACTCTTGTTTTAAAGGTATCACGCATAGAAAAAGTGGGTGGAGCTTCATCAAAAGGGGAAAATTCATATGGCATTGAAGTTTTTTGCAAGGTGAGAAAATTATTACGGAACAAAATTTATCGATGTGACTTTATCCATCTACATATCAGATACTAGCTGAACCCGGCAAAACTGTTCTGGCTTTTTTTGTTTCCGTAGTTGGAAACAGAACTTTGGAATAAAAAGTATGTGAAAATTGTCTCCTGTTCCCTAAATTCTTACATACAAAAAAGATAAAGACAGTATTTAATAAGTGATTGGACAAATGTAATTGTCTCTATTATATCTATTATAAATTATTACCATTCCTTGTATTGTATTTCTTTATAGGACATGCGCAATCTACGTTTTGCACATAAACAAGAAAACCATTCAAGAAGGGGTATATTTGAAAAGTTACAGCAACTAGCATTTCCACTATCACACAGATTACCATTGTTTGCATTCAGTTACTCAGAAAGTTCTCCTGAAGACGGGTGGCATGTTTATGAACCTGTAGCGGAGCTGAGAAGAATGGTGAGGAATATTTGACATTTAAACTTTATTGTATACTATCGACCCTCGCCGGCTTCGCATGGATGCAATGTATTATAGATATGAACCTTCCTCTTGAATCACTCTATCTAGTAAAAAAAACCGCATCAAGATCCGTTGTGCAGTTTTAAAGATCTAAGCATACATAGGGACAGACAGACAGCGGGAAGACTTTGTTTTATACTATGTAGTGATGCACAGCAAAGAGACGTTTATATTTCAAGTGCCATTTTGCCACAGTCACTTGTTTTGCCTTCCCAGAACCCCTCCACTAACACTTAAACTTTATGGTATGGTATTAAAGTTCAAATTGAGTTTTAATTATTATTATGAATCTTTTGTACGGGAATATAGAAAAGTGTTGTTTTAAGACTTTTTCAAGCAATTTTTTGTTTTTTTTTCTTTCATAAGAACCTTCTCCTGATAATAACAAACAACACAGAAAAAGTGAAATCGGTCCAGCCGTTCACGTGTGATGGCGTGACCAAGGGAAATAGGGATTCATTTTTATATATATAGATAGGGTATATATTGTATCTGGTCATTGTTGCATTATACATTCTTTACATCTTAGTTTCTTTCAGATTTTATATTTATATGCATTCTATCTTGGATTAGAGTTTTAAGAAGTATGATTTTTGTTATCAGGTTCTTTGTATCCGCAATAATTAATGTATGAACAGCATTATGTATTATAAATGAAAATTGCTGTTGCGTGGTAGCTCTGCTTATTATTTATTGGCCCACAAAGAAAAGTTACTCCTTTTTATGTGAAAAATTGGCATGTCAGTGGGCAGTTCATCTGATGTTATTACCACAGCCCATAGATAACAATCTACAAAATTAGAAAAATTGCATATGCATTGCTAGGGTTTAAAAGCAGTGGACAGTGAATGAACCTGCTGTCCTTGCAGCTGCAGAAGTCAAAGTCATCAGTCAATGGCTCAATTTTATAGGCATATTATACTACATATTTATCTTGGATTACAGATTCATAAGTTCATGATATTGGGTAATGCATAATGATGTAATATATTGACATAATATGATTCATTATGACTTTGATCATAATTTTTTTGACATTTTATGATAAATAATCCAATATGGTCATGGAAATTGGTGTGGTCACTTATTTTTTTACTTTTCCACTACTTAATATTTAAACACAAATGTAAAGTAGGTAATTGTTTTTAGTTAATATATTTCAAATGTATTCTTTTCAATTATATATTTGTATAACATTGCTGCATAATAATAAATAAAAGATCGGTGACCCTGACAACAACAACTGCCGACATACTGGCCCACTCCTCCAACCTGTTCTCCATTACAACCACATATGAAGTAAAATAAGATCGAGGAATTATTATGTGAATCAAATAGTTAACGACATTGGGTCACAGATATGATTGTATATGAGATCAATGATAGGTAAAACACTCTGTTTTTATGAGACACTGGGAATGCGCACTACAATGTTTAATTACAGTTGTACGCAATTTTAAGACATACTGCAGTCGCTGCCCTGACCGGCTAATACGTTATAATTCTAACCAACACTGAAGGCAACGTGCACCTATCTAACGCCCTCTCTTGCTCCGCACATAAAAAATGTGTACGGCAACAAGCAGTACATAATAAACAATTGAACAAGTCCCTCATTAACGCTCGGCCGATATCCGCAGGGCGTGAACAACGACATGTGGCGCATAACTCGTATCAACGACAAGTACGAGATTTGCGACAGCTACCCGTCGGTGTGGGCGGTGCCGGCGGCCGCCAACGACGAGCTGCTGAGGTCCGTGGCGGCGTTCCGATCCAGGGGTCGCATACCGGTGCTCGCCTGGATCCACCCCACATCGCAGGCGACTATCACCCGCTGCAGCCAGCCGTTGGTCGGGGTCAGCTGAACCTTTTTTTTAAGCTGGCAAACAAGCTGGCCAAACTTTTTTTTTTATTTTTCCTTAATTTTAGAAGGTGGCAGACGAGCTGGCGATTCATCTGATGTTACGTGATAGCCGCAGCCCATTGAAATCTGCAACACCCTAACGAAGGGTTGCAGATGCGCTGCCTTTTAATAAAGTGAGCCCCGGCTACCTACCTTACCACACGAAACGCAGTAGTGTAACACTTCCACTACATGTCGGTCTCGTGCGAGGTCGTGGCACTTACCACAACAATTTTATAATGACCGTAAAAAAAGTTTTTTTACGGAAATCTTCGAAATATGCAGTGGCGCACACAGGGAATTCAGCCAGGGTATACACTGAAAATCTTACCAATTTCTCTAGTCGATTGATGATAAAATAACCAAAGTGACCTTTGAAAAGGCTGTGAGATGTCAAATTTGTTTTCTTTAACATAAAAAAATGATAACTATAATGTAACTCAGTGTGGGTTTCAGTGTCTTGCGCGTGACTGGGTATGCAAATCTATTTTTTTCCATGTATGGAGTGCACGCGCATGTCTAATATGCATACTTTACTTTGACGTTTGTCGAGTCCTTCTAGCTGTAGTGTGCGAGGGTGACTCAATATGCGCTTTACGTACTACCGCCCGCATCGTCCGCTACCGCCCGCATCGTCCGCTACCGCCCGCATCGTCCGCCGGTTTCTCTCCCTTTCAACCTAACCCTCGGCCGTTTGGTCTCCCCTGCCGAGGGCTTCCGTCTGGTTGGGTCCTATTTATATATGTATTATATACAAAAAAAAATATTTATAAACCCAACCAGACGAGAAAACAAATGAAAACAATTACGTACTAATATTATTAGCATGTGTGTTTCATCAATTCTCTGTTTCAGGTGAGCGGCAAACGCAGTCGCGAGGACGAGCGCTACATCCAGCTGATAATGGACGCCAACGCGCAAGCGCACAAACTTTTCATAATGGACGCGCGGCCCAGCGCCAACGCAATCGCGAATAAGGCTAAGGGGGGCGGGTACGTGCATACAATTTGATCGTTACTTAGTGTTGCTGTCTCGTTCGCGCTGCAGCTTTTGACGCGTCCTGTCTCGTTCCACCTGCACACTGATGTACGGCTGTGCTCAGTTTTGTTTGATATTTGCAACACCCGTGGACTTACAGATGCGTTGCCACCTTCTCTATTAAAGTGGGCTCCGGTTACCTCACTCACAAGACGAGACGTAGAAGTATAACATAGGTTTTTCAATAAACTTTTCTTCATTTGATATTAAATATGGTTATCATTAATATATTTCATTAAGGCCATCATACTCTATAATAGTTGTTTTTGATTTCAGCTACGAATCGGAAGACGCCTACCAGAACGCCGAGCTGGTGTTCTTGGACATACACAACATTCACGTGATGAGGGAGAGCCTGCGTAAGCTGAAGGAGGTTTGCTTCCCACAGATCGACCAAACTAGGTGAACTTGTCTATGCTTCAACTTATTACTCTATAGTTTAACTACTGGCTGTAGTTTTCATTGTCACCAATTCAATTAGTTTTCATGTTCACATTCAAACCTTTGATAGTTGTACCAAGTCTTGGTAATGCATGACAATTATCGTGGCGTGATCTCGACAAATTACTTTGCTGTCCTGTTATTGAAACGGGATAAATCGATTTGTTAGAGAAGGGATTTTTGCGTATTGCTATTTTAATGTTTTTTGTTTTGTCGTTTGTGCGTGTTATTATCGCTGGATATATAAATGACAGTCCGAATTACATATGACTACAGCGTTTTTAAACGGATGTTTTATTCCTTCTGATTTCCAGATGGTACAGTGGTATAGAAGCGAGTTGTTGGTTGAAGCACATCAAATGCATATTGGCAGGAGCTGTGCGCATTGTTGATAAGGTGAACTTTATTTTATTTTCTTCATTTATTTATTTTTGTAGATTGATGCTCCATTGCTAGGTACTAAAAATTTCTCAATAATCAATTCGTGAATCGATTTAAGAAAAATCGGCTGTGACACACGGACAGACAGACGGACAAGAGAGTGATCTTATAAGGGTTTCTTTTTTTTTACCTTTTTACCGTTTACGGAACCCTAAAAATGGTTAAGTGATAAAGAACAAGAGTTTCCTTTGGTACTTTCATAAAAGTGAGGGCTGTGTACACAAGCTTGAACAAACAAAATTGAAAAACATCGACAAAAGCTGTGTTGTTGTTTACCAATCGACTTAAAAAGGGAGATGGTTAGCAATTTCGTTGTTTTTTTGTTACACGTGAAGTGAGTTTTAGACCTTTTAAAAAGTTTTTTTTGCATTTAGCTCCCATGTGGTCCCATATTAATTGCATTGGTTTAGGGGGGGCCTTGGACTCTGGAGATCTGGGTCCCCGAAATCAAATAGAATATGTATATAATTAAGTTTACATTTTAAGATAGATATTTGAAATTGGTTTTGTTTGGATTATTCTTTTTTCAAAATGTTGAACAGTCGACTGACGTAGACAACCGAGGGGCCTAGAAACTCTTGGTCTTACCTCAAGCGGTATGGTGCTAGCTTTATTAGACTCCCCTAGCCATTTATACCAAAAGAAGCCGTAGCCTATAGATTGTGGTCTTTTCTAAATTGCCGCGTGTCTTCCCAGGTGGAGAACCACAAGACGTCGGTGCTGGTGCACTGCTCGGACGGCTGGGACCGCACCGCTCAGCTGACGGCCCTGGCCATGCTGATGCTGGACCCCTACTACCGCACGCTGCGAGGCTTCCAAGTGCTCATCGAGAAGGAGTGGCTCTCCTTCGGCCACAAGTTCCAATTGGTCAGTTCGGGCTCTCTGTCTAACTGTAATAGCTTTATGTCTCTGTCTACCCCATTATGGTTGAATAGACCAGGAGAATATTCGTTTTTTGTTTTATTTGATGACATAAAAAATTAATTGAGAACATTTTTTATTATTTTTTTACATAGTTATTTGCATAAACAGTTATATTTATGATTTCAAACGGTCATTTACGTAAGCCTATAAATAATTGCGACACCACGTCAAGCGCAATCGTATGTTTGGTTGATCTCTCCGAGAGCTATGCATTTTGCGCTCATTCTGTCTCTGTCGCACACCGTCGTCGCCAATATCATCTATCCAATAATCACGTGAAATCACGCGCCTCAGAAAGGATGGACCATAAGTCTCTCTGTCACCCGTAGGTAGATCGATCAGATAGATATGAGTTGCGTGGCGCCGTCTCTGTCGCACCCAGCTCTCTGCTAAACTAGATACGCTCGCGCCGTCCCTGTCGCACGCAGGGCACTTATCCTCATCCTTAGCTATCGCGCTCATTCCGTCCCTGTCGCACAGCGGATCGGGCACGGCGACGAGCGGCACTCGGACGCGGACCGCTCGCCGGTGTTCGTGCAGTGGGTGGACTGCGTGTGGCAGCTGCAGCAGCAGTTCCCCACCGCCTTCGAGTTCACCGAGCGGCTGCTGCTCACCGTCGTGGACCATCTCTACTCGTGCCGCTTCGGAACATTCCTGTTCAACACCGAACGGGAGCGGGCGAAGGAAGGTGAAGCGCTCTAGTATCACTACATATTGTTTTTTTTTTAAGTGAGAAAGTGGAAAACGAGCTGTCGGTTCAACTGATGTTAAGTGATAACCGCCCCCCCCCCCCCCCATGGATATTTGCAACGCCCGTAGGTATTTTAACTACCTAACTTAACGCCCCATTTGTAGATGCTCTGCCACCTTTTAATAAAGTGAACCCCGGCTACCTCACGCACCAGACGAAACGCAGAAGTATACTACATCCATTTTACGCCGATCTTCTGTGAGGTCGTGGTACTTACCCGGACGGAGCTGCCAATTCGTGCAACAGCGAACTCTATTGCGTTGCCCTACCGCAGGTAAGACCGAAGTCCCTTCTAGTGTCTCAGTCTGAACGCAATTAACTATTAGTCAGATAATAGTGAGCTATCGAGCCGAGGTTCGGCCTCATTGGGCACTCTCGAATCGGAATGTTAAATAGTCACTGAGTAAAAGCTCAATCAGGTGAGCCTCCTGCTCGTTTGCCCCTTTTCTCCATCTGCTCTCTTTTCTTTGCCCCTTTTCTCCATCTGCTCGCTTTTCTCCATCTTTCTCCAATTGCTGAATGGATTTTATTACGGTGTTCACCACTAAAATTTGTAGAAAAAGTGCGAAAAAAATTGTCGCCGCTATGGGAATCGAACCCACGTCTTCGGCATTCGGGGCCTGACGCATTAGCCACTAAGCTAAACGGCTGATTGGCCACACCGACGAAAATCTTAACGTCTTTAAATGCTATAAAAACAATGTAGATAACATGTAGATAACAATGTTTTTATAGCATTTGAGGCAACGCTTGGCGCATCCATTGTTATATCCTTTCTAGCACCAGGTTTTCAACTTGTTCACATGAGGAAGTCACGCACCCCGTACCCATACTCCCGTCAATTGGTCAAAAACCTTAATGAATTACGTTCACGTGTATAATTCGTCAAGGTTTATTGTTAATTGGCTGAAATATAACTGATTGATGATCGATTTTATAGTATTAACGTTAACGAAACAATCGGTTTTAATATTTAAATTTCTTATATAATAATTCGTTATTAATTAAATACACATTGGCACTATAGCTGGATACGTTTTTAACGATACCCTCCATTATTTCAGAAGTGAAAACGAAGACAGTGTCATTATGGTCGTACATAAACAGCCGTCAGGATTTGTATCTCAATCCGCTGTACTGGGGACCTTCTTCATTTGGCGCAACCACGCCCACCTCTCCTTACTCGCGGCCGCAAGTCGTCCTCGTGCCTGTTGCATCGCTGAGGATAATAAAGCTTTGGAAAGCGTTGTACTGCAGATGGAACCCTACTATGCGCCAACAAGTAAGTTCTAAACAGATCATATTTATATTAGTGGAGTTAACTTTCTCCTTTCGCTTAGAGGTCACTTCGGTGTATAGCACATTATTACGGATTTAGGATAAACATTAATCTAGTTTATAACTGTATATACAAAGGCCCGGTTTCTGAAACACTGATCAGCATAGATGTTAACTAATCACCTGTCAAATGGCTTTTCAAATGTCATTTGCGTTGCCAATAGCCATCCTATTAAACTCTTTGAATTGCTAATTCTGATCATTAAGAAAAACATTCTGGTCAATTCAGAGAGTTTAATCATCCTTATAGCAACTAAAATGAACTTTAAAAAGCCATTTGACAGCTGATTAGTTGACATCTATGATGATCAGTGTTTCAGAATCCGGGCCTTTGTATATACAGTTATAAACTAGATTAATGTTTATCCTAATTTAAATATCTGCAAAATATTGCTGTACATTTTCATACAAAAATAGTGTATAAAAATTATTTATCTTGCAGCAAACAAAACAGAGGTTTGATATCGCTGTGGTCATATATAGTTCAAATATCTAATCACAGTAGCAAATAGATAAATAAATCTAGTATAATGTTGTATAACCGATATAATTATTTACAATATACAAGAAGTAGTTCGGATTTTATATATTATAAATTTATATAATATTTATTTTGGCCGCGATATAAACCTGTTGACTTTTTTTATTTTGCCAGGATCCGATATACCAGCGCACACGAGAGCTGGTGGCTCTACGCGCTCAGCTAGAAGCGGCTGCGGCGGCGGCGGCCGGTGACCACGCCGCGCGTCACCACCGCCTCGCCCTGACACCGCCGCGCGTTGCCAGCCCGCACCACGTGTGACGTCTCCAGCGGCACCCTCATGCCCCTCGTTTTCATCACATCGCACGTTCACGCGCGTTGCCAGCCCTCACCTTATGCGAACGTGTCGTCGCCAAAACTATTAATACACCGTCGAGTATGTTCTGCGCATTACCATCATCGCTGGTAATCTTCGAATGTGAGCATGCCTCAACTGTTCGCGTTGCCAGCCCGCACGTCTTGTGAACTTTTCCAGCGCTCAGTACCTACACGCCCCTCAAATTAATGAAGTTCACGCGCGTTGCCAGCCCGCACCACGTGTGAACGTGTCTTCAATGATAATATTATACTGCTACATCGAGTCGATTCTTCGTATTTATCGTCAACGTGAATGAGAGCATACATCCAAATTTACCAGCGACTACGCTTCGACCCGTCGCGTACAGCCTGCGTATTTTCTGCATTTATAATACACCGTCGAGTATGTTCTGCGCATTATCAACATTGCCAGTCATCGTCGAATTTAAACATGCCTCCGACATCTAACGCCGCACGTTGCCACCCCGCACCATGTACGAACGTACAGTCTTTACAATCCACTGAATTTCATGCTACGCATTGTCAACCTATTCAGGTCACGTTCACAGTTGTGCTTATTCAAGCACAACTGTGACTGCTGGAACTCAAACATGTGTCTGTCATATTCAATCAACACACTTGTAATGTTAAATGTTAAACATATGATCATATGAAAACGCTTCTATTTTGTTATTCAATTATTAAGTAACTCAATGCAGAACAAAAAATCCTGAGGTTTACCACCTCGTTGTGCAAAAATTCACTAAGAGTAAATTGTGAGATATTTGAGTTTGACCGAATTTTGTACAATTGACATTTATATTTTATATACTAGTGATATTATGTGTGACACGAAGGCATTAAAAAGAACTTAGTGCGATTGCGCTCTAAAATAAATTATAGTTTAACAATATAAGTTTATTTTTATGCATTTGCGAGTTAACAGAACTTTCACCTGTTGTACATGGAAGTACGTGTTCTATTATATTATGAAAACTTCTATAAGAGTTCTAACGTGTTTACATTGATCCTAATATTTTAACTACTGAACTATTGTAACGACAAGCAGCACTAGTGGTTATATCACCGTCCGGGAACGCAGCCGAAATCCAAGTGACCATGCTCCATGCGACCATGTGTCACCCCTGGCTCGAGTAGATAACGTCACATCCGGTATACAGTGTTGCCAGCGCCAACACTTCGTATTAATTCATGCAAATTCTATTGACCTTAATTGTATAGTGCGTCAATATTACTGAGCTAATGACTCGATATCATTGTTTTGCCTCTATGACCATGGCTATTCAGTAAAAAATACTATAAAAATTAGCGTCAACATAAATCGTGAAAGGTAAAAGAGCGGTTTTCTAAAAGCAGTTTAATTTCATTTATTTGAATTCATTGAAATAAATATTTTGGCTATATATATCTTCAAGTTTGGCATATATATATTCATTGGTATTAAAAGCATTTAATAAAATTATCGTTTAAGTATGATAATTTACTTTGAAAATATTTTTAAATCGCATTTTCGGTGATTTCATTATTTCCATATGTAATAATATTTATTGATGGTTCGTTTGGCGCAGATAGTCGTAGTTTTGATTTTGAGAAGTATGTAAAGCCTACAAATAAAATCCGTTTGGATTAATCCTTCGCCCAATTATAATAATGTCATCAAAAATCCTTAGAGACAATCCTTTTCTATACTATGGAATACAGTTATTTAAATTGTTGCATGTTTTTATTAATAAATTGTGTGTTTTATTAATTTGTTGTACAGTTGGGTTACATTAAACGAACTAATCTTATCCATATAAAATTATGAACAGTTATTGGATGACGTTTATACAAATCAATATTAAAAGGAAAACCTAGTAATGGTGGTCTAAGAAAATGTTTGTTTCTCTTGTAGTGTCAAATATTTTAAGAAAAAAATTTTGTTTTTCCTGATTTCTACCTAAGAGTAAATGTGTAATAATATGTAATATTGGATATGATTTATACATTAAGAAATAGCAATGGTCTAATGTAACACAATGTTGTCAATGACTACATTGTGTTACATTAGACTGTTACATTATGCTGTTTTTTTCCTTTCAGTGCACAAATCCCCCTCCCCCCTCCTTTTTTAAAAATCTTTAAGTAACAAACCACAACTAGGTATCAATAATCATTTTTTTAACTTTTATTTTGTAAATTTAAATGTTGAAAACTTCAAAATTTAAGCACAGAATGTGACTTTATTACTTTTTGTTGCCAAATCGAGTAACTCAACACATAAAATTTTTCATTAATTTCGCTATATAATGGATGTGTATTTATGGCTATTTCCTATTAATTATATACCGTTGTATGAAAGCTATATCTGTCTTTATGCATTCTACGATATGTATTTTAATTTATAAAGGGAATAAAAAAAGCATACAATTCATCGAATCTGCGCTGGAAGGGCTGATATGTCGCTATCAAATTTATTAAATCGATCACTTTGTAATACACTGTATAGATGCGTCCAAAATAAAAGCCTACCTATGTTTAATTTAGATTTAGATATATCCACAACAGTCTGTTTCATTTAATTTACTAAGAGTACTATTCCTTTGTAAATATATTCATTTCAATGATCACTTGTTTACTTTTTTATTATATCATTAACCAAATTATGGTCAGTTAAGGCTGAGGAACCGTGCGTAAACAGTAAATTTAGATAAATCATATTTGAACTTTGTCTCGGGTCATCTACGTATTTATAGGTCTCCGGGTTGTTTAGCCCTGCTTATCGTCTCGAAATTATCATTTGTTCGTTGTCTCTAAAGTAAATAGCTACTCCAACCTCTGCGGCGAGAGCGTATTAAACTATTCTCCGGTTTATTTCCCTATAATGCTCAAGATCGTGAGAGATGTTAGAATCAATAGCAAAGCCGCAAAGTTTTATAAATTTAACAAATCCAACAGTAACAGGTTATATGCAACAAACAAAGAGATCGTGTCATCCGCAGATGTGGTCGTAATAGGTAAAGTACTAGCTAAATATATTTTACTGTATAACCTTAATATATACCTAAATTAATATTTTTTTAATATTGATTAAAAAATTAGGGACAAAAATTTTAATATAAGTTTTATTTTATTTATTTTATATCAGCTCGGTTAAATTTAAAGGACTGTTTACTTAGATTTAATCGAAAGTAACATTTCAGGCTTATAATTTTTATCTTGTAATCTTTATGACAACTTACAATTACAAAGTAGGTATTAAAAGGTATATCTTTAACACATGCCAATAGATTTTGAACAGCAACATTCAAATTAAAGTAAAATTTAACTAACAGAGGGTTCAGGGTGTTAGGGCATAGCCCACACTACGTAACGGATGGGGGTAAGATCTTAAAATTGCAATTAACAATTTCATTGTTGCCGGCACCGGGAGTTGAACTCAAATTGCTCGAGTGTATTGAATTATAAGAGAGCGCCCGGACACTGAGCTATCACGATTTATTCAAATTAAGAAAGCCTTAAAATGGGAAAGCGGCTGATGGTAAATAATTTTAGCAATTAATAACAGAACAGTGTCCTTATTTCGCCATAGGGAAAAGAAAATCTTTACGGATATTAATTTAATGTTGTGTACATACACATTCTAACGTACGTTATAACTTTTTTACTTGTTCTCAATACAACTTATTCTTAATTTTATTTCAATTGGACCATAAGAAAACTTTATATATGTTCTTTTTCTGTCTGCAAGAGATTTTATTTGGGATGATTCGTTACATTGTCGGATGCACTTTTATTGTGTGCCATTTTCCTTAGTGTATCTCAAGTCTTATAAGATCAACAGTTATTTTAAAAGGTACTTAACAGGTGGAGGAATTGCTGGTTGTAACACTTTGTATCAATTGACAAAGAGAGGTGTTAACGCTGTTTTGTTGGATAGAGCTAAGATTACAAGCGGTACAACATGGCACACGGCAGGCAAGTAGCTAAAATGTGACCGACATTACCTAATATTATATATGTTTATTATATCTAAATATTTTTACAAAGTTATTCTACATGTTTTTACGAAGTTATCTAATCTCAAACTAAGCGAAGCTTGTACTATGGCTACTAAGTACCTGATAAACATAATTTTCTTTTGCAAATAAATACATGTTATAGTTATATACCTATATACAGATATTAGAAAACACTACATTCATCACACGCCAAGCTCCAGATGCGTTGCAAATCTTTAAAAAGTTTGGGTCCCGGTAACCTTACTTAATAAACAAAACGCAAAAGTACAATACATCCAATTTACACTGGTCTTCCGTAAGTTTGATATACGGCTCCGAATGGGCTTGCCTATTCGTTCAACAGGAGTTGCTGCATGGCCTTAGCATAATTGTTTTAACAGACTCAAACTCTTTTTTCCGAACGTTTTAACAGGTTCAATTCATTTACGAGATAGAAATATGATTATATAAACGTAGAATCATTATATAATAAAATAGAGTATTATTAAATAATAATTAAGAAACTTATGAATTCGCACAGTATATAATTATTTTTTTATAAATATTTTTGCATAATTCCATTGCAATGTTTATAATCAGACAGTATAGAAATGTTAATAATTGCGTTTTTCAGGACTGGTATGGTCACTGCGTCCTTGCGATTTAGAAGTGAGGTTGCTACGAGATTCGAGGACAGTTTACAGCAATTTAGAGAAGGAAACAGGCGATTATGCTGGTTGGATCAACAATGGAGGGATGTTCATTTCTCGCAGCAAGGTAGGGGCCAATACTTATGACATAACTATAATGATAAATTTACAACAGACTGAAGTAAATCTCATCTGCCTGTGACAGTATGAGGGTTGTCTTATTTTTATTTATAACATAATGAACTGTGCTTGTTTTTAGGTGCGAACACAAGAGTATTTGAGATTGCACACTTTGGGTAAAGCAATGGGCATACCAAGCCAAGTTTTGAATCCCGATGAAGCGAAAAATTTATTCCCATTGTTGGACCCGTCGGTTTTTAAAATGGCTTTGTACTCCCCAGAAGATGGAACTATTGACCCTGCTATGGCATGCAGTGCTTTAGTGAAGGCTGCAACTAAAAATGGTGGAAAGGTATGTTTAATTTTTTCTTATGAAGGGTGGCTAACGAGCAGACTGTTTGCCTGATGATAAGCGATTTTCGACTTACGTTGAAAAGCATGGACGCTACTTTTCATGCTTGTCATATCTTAGCAAACGTCCACAGGCACAAGCGTTATTTAGTACGAATTATAGTGTTGTGACAATGATTTGCGATGTAATCACCAAATGGTGAACGGTATGTAATGTAGAAGCGATACTAAACGCGCATGCAAACGCGTGAATACATCGCGAGCGTTTAGGACAAACGCTCTTTCATTTGTAACTCAAAAACCAACACCTGAGCGATCGGCCAAATAACCTAATATGGTTCGTTTACACGCTTGTGATTTTGGAAGCTTGTTTAAATTCGGCAAGCGTGTAAAGTAGTGTTAAGAGCCGGTTCCATTTCTAACCAGTCGAAACACAAAAGTAACAATACTTTAAATTACGTCAGTCCTTTCTGACTTTGTTGTTTACCCGAAAATGCAATCCATTTTAAACATCGTATAACGGTGGTAATAAAACAGAATACCTAATTAACATTCTAATCAAACATGTACTTGACGTAGAGCGAATATTTAAAAAAAAGACATGTTCTAGATATACGAAGATTGTCCAGTGCTAGACATACATTACGCGCACAACTTTCTGGGCAATAAAGAGGTGACTGCCGTACACACTGATAAAGGAGTTATCAAAACTAAATGTGTTGTCAACTGCGGGGGTAAGCATATATTATACAATATTCGCGTTCATACATGATTGTCCATATTTTTAACGACATTATTCATAACTAAGTGAAATAATGTAAGTGAATGATGACAGTCTATAAAAATCTAAAAATACATTTCGGAATTTTGTGTACATTACTTATCAAAATTGTATGGATACTTATGCTTTTCGTGTGTATTTAAATAACGCTTATCTTACTAATACTGGAACATGCAAAATTCTTCAGACACAGAGTCAAGAGCTATAGCTTATACGGTCTTTAACGCATTTATGTCACTCAAGGATTATATTTGCTATCAGCACAGCTTTTCTTTGGGGCAATTAATTCAGTATTATTTCATTAAGTATATTATTATTTTATTTTTCATACTTGCATTTGATTACAGGTGCGTGGGGCCCTCGCGTCGCTAGATTTGCCGGCATACCATCGCTGCCGATAGTGCCGTTTAAGCATGCATACGTTGTATGCGATGCTACACCAGAAGTGCGCGGTGGTCCGAACATTAGAGACCACGACGTCAACTTGTATATTAAAGTCCAAGGAGAGTCGTGCCACGTTGGAGGGTACGAGGCAAATCCACATATGTTGGACCAGGTAAGGTATTGTTTGATTCGATTGATTGATTCTCCATCTAAACTGGGACGATAAAAAATATTACTAGACGTTAGTCATGACGTAACGGTTGAACTATTTTATTTATTATATTTTTATAAGGAATCCTGTTCTTAAGATCGCTACCAATCTTCACAGGATCATCTGCTGGGCTAAACTGGAAATTGCCTGAAATTTCATCAAAATCGGTATTCGGTATATAACATTCGTTTTGGAGTCCATAGGGAATATAACAACATGCACAAATCGACTTTTATGTATACACATTTGGAAAAAAATGTTTTTGTTAGTTGTAGAGAGGAATGCATGCAATCCTTAGAGATACCTATAAGTCGCAAGTACGTCCATATATTAACACGACTCCCCCAATATCCTTGCAGGTTCCTGATAACTTGCAGTTCCACCTGTACGACTTAGATTGGGACGTGTTTGGCGTGCACATGAACAGTGCGACCACTTTGTGTCCCAAGCTGGCCACGGTGGGCGTCAAGAGCACAGTTTGTGGACCGGAATCCTTCACGCCGGACCACAAACCTCTACTGGGCGAAGATCCCAACGTCTTCGGTGAGAAATCTTATACATCTCTACTTTTTCATCCTAGGTCTGATATGAGATAAAGGAATGAAAAAAAAAATAATCTAAGACATGAAATCGAGAACGTACCGACATGCTTACTATTACTATGTATACATCGGAATCTATAATGTAGAACGTTATTAAGTACTATATTTTCTCTACTTATCAGAAAGAGAGTAGTTATAGATCATTTACCTAGTAGGGCTAACTGCTGTGAACATTTGTATATTCGGTAAGATTTTTGGACCATTATTATGAACAATTTTTTAAGGCATTAATGAATCTTGTTTCTGACGTCAAGTGTTTAAATTACTTTTTCTTAAACAACCACAATTAATATTCACTACGTATTCTTATTATATGCCATTCCGTTCCTTAATCACGTCACTCATTAATTAATTAATTCCAATAAAGCTATATTATTACGAAGGCTGAAGTAAATAAATGTTTAAGAAACTTCTTATTAAAAAAATAAGTTTCTTGAACACGAATTTTATCGCCTTTATTTCTAAGTTAATCTCGCGAGTTTTTGAATACCTAACGGCATACATTGTCAACGAGCGGTACCCATTCTTAAGTTAATTATTAAACTATTGTAAGGAAAATTTGAATAAAAAGACTTAAATGTTACGAACAATAAATACGTCCGTTACAGTCAGATTAGCGAACCAGCAGTTTCCCCACTACTCGAGTGCTAACGAACAATCGATTTACCTGATAGAGTTGCATCTTTATATAGATGGCTGTAGCTTGTCTATCGTAACCATAGACCACAAGCATGAACCATAGACCATAACCATTTGACCATCTCTTACACTATACAATACAAATGTGAGCGATGAAAAATAATTTTTCATATATATTTTCAGGTTTATATCACAACTGCGGTTACAATTCCGCTGGCATGATGTTTTCGGCTGGCTCCGCCATACAAATGGCGGAGTGGATTATAACTGGACGGTAAACTTGTCTTTTCTCCTGCCCTTGTACTACACTAGGTGGGGTTGGCGCAACACCAACTTCCCTTCCATTTTCCTCTATCAGCTGACGTCTCTATGTCTGACTAACTGTGGTAGGGCCGTGCAACAGCAAATGGGCAGGCCCGTCCGGGTAAGTACCATGACCTCACAGAAGACCAGCGTAAAGTGGAAGTATGACAAATAATTTCGCGTTTCGTCTGGTGTGTGAGTTGGTCGGAGCCCAATTTTTAAAAAGGTTGTCAACGCATCTGTATCCGCCGGGTGTAGCAGATGTTCATGGGCGGCGGTATTCACTTACCATCAGGTGAACTGTCTGCTTGTTTGGCAACTTTTCACATAAAAAAAAACACTAACACTAATTATTTTATTCGAAATATTGCCAATCCATGTTTACAAACTGCAACATGCTTACATTTGTTCACGAATTCGAATTTGACTCATTAGGCCGAGTTACGACGTATTAACTTTTAACCACGACTTTGCCTTCGACTTTAAATGATTTTCACCACGACGAGTCACAGCAAGTTTACAATCGTTTTTGAGGACTCCGTAACCCAGTTGCCAAGATATTGGCTTCAGCGTCGGGGGTCATGGGTTCGATTCCCACACGGGACAACTATTTGTGTGACCCACAGATAATTGTTTCACAATTGGGTGTTTGTCCACGTGAAATTTATGTTAGTAAAACGTCCTTACGAAACAGAATGTTACGGTGGTAGAGCCACGCAACAGTGGTCCGTTCGGGTTAGTACCACGACCTCAGAGAAGATCGGCGTGAAGTAGAAGTGTTACACTTCTGCGTTTTGTCTGGTGAGTGAGGTAGCTTTTAACGCGTTTCACCACGCCAACTCACAACGCGTTCACAATTTACAAACGTCCGCTTCATAAAATTCGACCACACGTCCGCGAACTTCAAGTCGACCCAACTCGAACATGAACGCGTCCCGCAACACGCTCGCACGTCCGCGACCTTCACGTCCGCCCGAAACCCGCCAGGCCGATCTCCACCATGTTCACGTTCGACCCGAAACCCGCCGGGCCGATCTACACCATGTTCACGTTCGACCCGAAACCCGCCGGGCCGATCTCCACCATGTTTACGTTCGACCCGAAACCCGCCAGGCCGAGCTACAACATGTTCGCGTTCGACGTGCGCCGCTTCACGCCCGCGCAGCTGTCGCGGCCGCACTGGGTGCGCGAGGCCAGCCACGAGTCGTACGTGCGCAACTACGGCGTGGTGTTCCCGCACGACGAGCGGCTCGCCGGCCGCGACGCGAGCCACGACGCGCTGCACCAGGAGCTGGTCGACGCCGGCGCGGTGATGCAGACGAGGGCGGGCTGGGAGCGGCCCGGGTTCTACGTGCCCGGCGAGAAGGTGGGTGCCCGGCGAGCCGCTCGCCGAGCGATTCTAGTCGACAATATTGGCTTGTCACGTTTGATGATCGAAAGCCCACGGCCACCGCCGTGTCTAGTGTAATACTGGCTTTTCCCCCGCATCTTTCTTTCACCATTCAAACCTTTACAATACTTTTTTACAATTAAAAAAAAATAGCCTATTTCTAGCCTGTGTACCAAATTTCATTTAAATCAGTTCACTAGTTTTGGCGTGAAAGCGAGACAGACAGAATGAGTTACTTTCGCATTTATAATATTAGTATGGAAGTATGGATTATAAAGAAGCATTTCACTTACTTATTGATTGTCAAAATCTCTACCGTACAATAGTATAATTTATCAAGCATTTATTTTTAGATTCGCGTACAACAATACGATTGGGGCGGCACAAACGACTATCCGCGTAACCTGGACCAACGCTACGAGGAGGTTCTAAAAGGCGACTACACTTTCGACTTTTCGAAACACCATGACCTGGTATGTAGCGATTCTTTTATGGGGGAATGTGGTAAGAGGGCGGGCGGGTCCGCCTATGAGAAGTAATACCACCATCGATTAACTTATGAGAACTAAAAGGATAAATATGAAAATTCATTATAATTTATAATAAACTAGCGGACCGGACAGACGATGTCCTGTACACAAGTCTTAAATTTGAAAATTAAATTTAAAATTTTCCTAACTTTGTGAATCTAAACTATTCTCGAAACCACCTGAACATACACAAAAAATTTCATTAAAATCAGTCCAGCCGTTTAGGTGGAGTTCAGTGGCATACACACGTACAGAAGAATTATATACAGGGATGCTTTTCTAAGTGTATCCATTTTTTTAATTAAAATCTAGACATAAATAATGTTGTATAAAAAATGATAAATATTTAAAATCACCCGTAATTAATTAAATACGTCCATTTGAACTTATCGCAAAAAGTGCGTGATTTATGGGCAACTCATTTATTTTACGTGCGATCATTCATAACTAACACGCACACAAGTTCATTTCAAAAGTATACTTCGCATTTATGAATGACTACCGCATTGTCAACAAGTTCTGTTTTTTTAGATTTGGATTAGAATGGCAATCTTTTTGAAAAAAAAAATGTTTTTATTACAATAAACGATTATACCACCGAGTCTGAACCGCCTGTGTGAATATTTGACAACCCGATTGGCCTACTTGGCCGGGTAGTGAACCTATCTCTTACGCCAGAGGGTGTGGGTTCGATCCCACTACTGGAAAAGTATTAGGAATGTGATGTACATATTGTTTTGTCAGTGTCTGAAAATATGGGTGTTTATATATTTATATCATGTTTTCATTTACAAAAGAAAAGTATGTTTATCAGTTATCTAGTAACCGTAGCACAAGCATTGCTTAGTTTGGGACTAGAGAAAGCTGTGGAAAAATGTGTCCTGAAATATTTAGTATTCTCTGAGGCTGTGGAAGTGTTCGCGGACTACCCAGAAAACTCATGCAAAAGCTACTGCGTGGCACCACCACTATATTTACTTGTAGCAATTATGAAAGAAAGTAAAAGAAATTTGATTATACATATTGTGGTCTGTTTGATGCTGAATCGGAATTTAATAGTTGCATTATACCAGTTAATGTTGATTTGATTCTTATTACTTCTTCAATTAAAGAAATCGCCTAAACAGTACAAACAATTTGATTACTCAGAGTCATTATAAACAGCTTAATGAGCCTAATGAGATTCACTTGATCACCAACCATTAACTGACGATTCATATTTTTATATCTAAATTAAATATTTCTACATACTGCCCACGACGCCATTTCACAAGTCTTATTAGTATTTCATTCATGACCTTACACAGTAAATATTCCAGTATAAATCATATGTACCTGTAAGAACATTTCTTGTATTTCAACGGCTTGAAACGATATTTTTAAAACAAAAATTGTCACCAACAGATCGGAAGGGAGGCTTTGGCCTGTAGGAATGCAGCGGCCTTGTTTAACATGTCGTATTACGGCAAATTTTACTTGACCGGGCCCGACGCGCAACGCACTGCCGAGTTGGCGTTTACCGCGGACTTAAGAAAGAATGATGATAGGTGAGTAGATAACAAAAGTACCTAAATAACACAATCCCCCTTTTTTCACGCCATCCGGTTAGAAAAAAAAAACGAATACACTCTCGATTACACTGTAATTAGACATTACATCGAAACTAACCCTAAATGTGACAGATTAAAGACTTATCAACGAAAATCCAAGAAAAAAAGATGAAACAATTCGTTACTTTCTGCACGCAAATGGCCGTTAGAGCAGCAATCTCTATACGGCACCTAAAGTATGTACATAAATGAGAAATACACGGGCTTACTAATATAACATTGAATTACTATTGATTTATTTTTAATTAACAAAGCAAAAGGGTTTTACTGAGCTCGTACGTTTACCTTCAACGATGGAGTTACAGCTATGACGTTACGTTCCGCCGCAATCACCGTAGATCGCGACACGTTCTCGACTTCCCTGACGATGAGACGACTATCGCCATCGAACGGATAAAAAAGTTACGAAAACACACAAAAATTTTGATTTGATTTAATAACTCGTAGTAGTTAATTAATTAATTTAATAACTAGTAGTATTACCGAGGGTCTACTGAAGGTCTTTTATAGGGTTGTGTTATCAAATATTTTTCTTTAAGGGTCGTCTATTCACTTCTGCTCAACGATAAAGGCGGGGTTGAGGGGGATGTAACTGTCAGCATTCTAGATGGTGGCACCGGACAGCTGCACGGACCTATTTTCAAAGTGAGTCATTCAATTAGGCATAGTTTATACAGTATCGAAAATTTTGACATCTATCTATATTAAAATGCAATAAATAGAACAAACTTAGATAGTTAATCCCGCAGCGCCAAAAGTTTTTGTTGATTTATCTACAATTTACAATTTAAAGTTGCATCTTTAAAAATTAAGATTGGACATTAAAATATGTATAAAAAGTGCGAATAGATTATCGCCGCTGTGGGAATCGAACCCACGTCTTCGGCATTCGCGGCCTGACGCTCTAGCCACTGAGCTAAACCGCTGATTGCCACACCGACGAAAATCTTAACGCATTCTTTCACATTGTTTTCTTAGCATTTGAAGCAATGCTTGGCGCCATCTATTGTTATATCCTTTCCAGCATACAAACAATTTCGAATATCGTTTTACAACGATAATTCGAACGAGAGATGTCGCCATTGCTTTTTTTTAGAAATTTAAATTGTTTATATTGCTAATCTTTGCACTTAAGACTGAACATTAAAATATGTAGAAAAAGTGCTGTGATGGTCGCCGCTGTGGGAATCGAACCCACGTCTTCGGCATTCGCGGCCTGACGCTCTAGCCACTGAGCTGAACGGCTGATTGCCACACCGACGAAAATCTTAACGCATTCTTCCATATTGTTTTCTTAGCATTTGAAGCAATATTACATATTTTAATGTTCAATCTTAAGTGCAAAGATTAGCAATATAAACAATTTAAATTTCTAATAAAAATTAATCTTAAAAAAATACAAAACTACATGTAAAGTGTTGATTTGAAAACAATTGACATCTTTGATGATTGTAGGGTCGCGGCTACTATGTGGTGTCGAGTGGCTTCAGCGCGATGCACACGCTAGCGCAACTCCGAAAAGTAATACAAACACACAAACTCAGAGCCAATATAACCGATGTTTCGAAGCAACTTTGCATTCTAAGTGTGCAAGGACCCGACAGGTGAGATTTATTAATGAATTGACTTATTTATTAATAAGTACTATAATTAAACACACTTCAGACACAATAAACAAATTATTTGTTAAGCAATATATAAATATATAGTAGACGCTTGGCAGAAATGTTGTCTTCTATTAAGGCTGCTTTAAATATTATTAAAACAGTGCATAGTATCCATTAAAACCCACAGTTGAGTCAAAATAAATGCACAAAAACATTAAAGAATATCTTATCCATAGTTTTATATTCGGTCAATATTTTTTTATGTAAAAGTTAACAAGTGAACATGTGTTTAACATGATGTTAAGTAAATACCGCCGTGCATGGATATATACAACACCTGTGGACTTGTGGTTGGGTTGAAAACCTTTAAAAAGTGGGCCCCGGTTAACTAACTTACCACGCTGGTCTTCTGTGAGACCGAGGTACGTACTCCCTTAGACGTGCCTGCCCATTACGCCGCATGTCCATACTGCTCGGCGATTAAAAATTGTTTAACCGCTTTACATTATGTGACATATTTAAGTGAATGAGACAGATGATATAAAAGTATGATGCGGATAGAGATAGCAGTCTAAATAATTGCAATCTAATTACACCAATTGGGGTAATTTGAGTGCCTCAGTTTCGACGACGGATCATATGCTGAATTTGATTCTAAATCTGTATCTAGTACGTACTTGTGACCTCATTTTTTTTCCTAAGATTATTTTTAATTTTTTCAAACATTATGGCCACCCTATTAGAAATTCCTGCCTTACCGTCTAAATACAATAACTTATTCACGAGCACCAAAACTTGTCACTGGACACATGATTACTATCCGGTTATTAATAGGGTGGCCACTTTTAACGGGATTATAAAACAATGTCTGAATTGATATTTTTCTGGTTATTTCTAAATATTAAGTTATAAAATATAAATATTTTTTTAAAAATTATGGAATGCCAACAAGATTATGTCAAAGTATGTACTTTGTCTAAATAAACACCCTGTATAGTATCATTGGTACAGGGTGATTTCATACTGCCGCATATTTCCAGTCAGCGGATCTTGCAGCGCTACACTGACGCCGGCCTTTCGAATGACGCTTTCCCGGTGAACACACACCGCAACATACACGTGTCGCGGACGCCTTATTCCGTAGAAAATAAGACGTACACTTGCCGAGCGCTCAGAGTCGGCTGGGCGGGCGAACTGGGATGGGAGCTGCACGTCCCTTCTGCGAACGCCGTGCAAGTTTACAAGGCGCTGAGCGCCGCAAAGGGACTAAAGAGCGCCGGATGGAGGGCATTGACCTCTTTGAGCGCGGAAAAAGGTGATGGTCAACAGATTAAAAATTAATCCGACAATGATCCAGGCGCGGATTTGGATATCTAGGTGTAAAGTTTGAGATCAGATTTTTTTTTAATTTTAAAAACACTGCCCTTACTTTAGGATAATATTATCCTGTGTTGTAAGGACGTTTTACAAACATAAATTTCAAGCGGACAAACACCCAGATGCGAAACAACTATCTGTGGGTCACACAAATAGTTGTCCCGTGTGGGAATCGAACCCACGACCCCCGACGCCGAAGCCAATACCTTGGCAACTGCGCCACGGAATCAACAAGAGATTGGACTATGGCGAAAAATTAAATTAATTAAAAAAAGCTTTCGTAGTTCAAATCTTTATTCTTGCATCTTATTTCAGTCAGATCGTCGTGGAAAAGTTGTTGCAATTTAGTAAGGAAATGAGTTGGTCTTTTTAAATTAAATGTTTCAAAATTTTTAACGTTTTTTTTTGTTTGTTTAATGTTCAATCTTAAGTGCAAAGATTAGCACTATAAACAATTTAAATTTATAAAAATCGGTTCATAAAGGACGAAGTTATCCGCGAACACACATAAAAATATATACGGTCGAATTGAGAGACCTCCTTCTTTTTTGAAGTTTTAACAGACTTTAGACAGAAAGCTTAATATTCTTGAATTGGAAAGGTTATGTTGATGTATTCATCAATCAAAACATGTATATACAAATAAGTATTTCGAAATATGTGAAATTCGCCAACCCGCGGCAAGGTTGCGTGGCAGATGCCTTTATACCATTCGTACCCAGCAGCCCATATTTATTGTGGGCTGTCTTTTCTTTATCAAAAAATGACATATATTTTGTTATTAACACTGCTGTTGTTATTTCAACAGGTTATCATTTATGGAATTCCGACTTACGGTCGGACGACAATCCAATAGAAGCAAACTTAGGATTTGCATGCAGGAAGGACGGCGAATATATTGGTAATGAGCATGTATCGAAAGCAAAACGAAATGGGGTCACTAAGAAATACGCTTTCTTTACTCTCGATGATAAGGTAGTAATTACATTTCATTTACCTACCCGATTGAACCAAAAAAAATTACTCTGTTATAATTGCCGTTGTCCGTTGTTTTGTTGTAAAAAAAATTAAAGAAAATATGTTTTTAAAGAATTTGTATAAAATGCCCCCTTCAGTCGGTGGTGCGGTAAACTTCGGCTTGGGGATCGTGGGTTCGATTCCCACGCGGGACAAGTAATTTTGTGCACTACAGTTGAATCTATTAATAGTTCCGGATCTGGGCGTTTGTTCTCAAAGGGGTTTGACATCAGGCAGGTGGCCGGTTGTACAACACATAACCGAAACTAATTACCACACGATTCCCGTGTTGTAATTAGTGGCGACCCCACCTAGGTGGGATAACTCTAGTAAATAATAGGTACTTCATCTATTTTTTAAATCAAATATCAATGTAGAAGAATATTAACCGTGGTAGTGCCACGCCTGCCCATTCGTGCCACAGTCTTCGTGGTTGCAAGAATGGGTATGTGCGTCCGGGGAAGTACCACGACCTCACAAAGGACCAGCGTGAAGTGGAAGCGTTACACTTCTGCGTTTCGACTGGTGAGCGAGGAGCCACTTTATTTTAATAATAAGGTGGATTGTCACACAACAAAATGAACCCCTAGGGTTGTTTAGATGATGTTTAGAAATAATACTTTTAATTATCAATAAATACATTATGAATTTTAAAGTTTTTTATAGTGCTAATCTCTGCACTTAAGATTGAACATTAAAACATGTAGAATCTTTCTCGACAATCTTTTCGTACTTTTTCTACATGTTTTAAAATAAATTATGTTTATAATAATATTTAATGTGATTTTTCTTGAAAATATATAATACACAACACATATAATTGTACAAATGCAGGTGGCAGTTTTCGGTCAAGAGGCGATCTTTAGGAACGGCGAACCAGTCGGATACTTGAGGAGAGGCGACTACGCATATTACCTCGACAAGTCCATCGGTATAGGATATGTAAGCAACAACGGCTCGGCAGTGACAAAGAGTTACTTAAACGAAGGCGCCTACGAAATTGAGGTCATGGGTAGGAAACACAAGGCGAACCTCCATTTAAAATCGCCGTTTGATCCGACCGGTCAAAGAATACTTGGAAACTACGGCGAGCAGGGAATGGACGAAAACGCGCACGAACCGCATGCTGGACAAAATGCGAGAGATGGCGGCAGTGAATAGTATTGTAATTTTTAGTTAGCCAACAAATCAATAAAATCTATTTAACATTAACTTTGTATCCGTTTTGCACGTTTCGTGAATGTATTATTATTACAATTTAAGGTGTCGATTTACAAATTGCTAGAGGCGAATAGAGAATAACGATGAGGAAATAGGTACAGACGAATACGACTAAGAGAGAATTAATAAAATACTTCCTAATAATGCGAATTCCGGCAATTTGCAGTAGGGTTGGTAGCGGTTAATGCCCTCCCATCCCCCAGCTTCTGTAGTTATAAGTAGCTCTGTGGTATTTCCGAGGCATCTTCCTTACATAATCGCTCCCGCTGCTTGTACGCGTAGATCTTAGATCTACGCAACGTATTTTAATGCAGTTTTCAGCAGTAGAGTGATTCAATGAAGATTTATATGTAGTACTAGCGACCCGTCCCGACTTCGCACGGGTGCAATGTATTATACGTATAAACCTTGCTCTTGAATCACTATATCTAGTAAAAAAAACCGTATCAAGATCCGTTGCGTAGTTTTAAAGATCTAAGCATACATAAGGACAGACAGACAGCGGGGCGACTTTGTTTTATACTATGTAATGATACATGCATCATATAGTAGAGACATGCAAAGAAATTCAAAGATATGTAAAGTGATATCGTTACAAACATCTCATGAAAAACACATATACATATTATATGAACCTATACATATTATATATATAAAGATTTCCTGTAGTATAGGTAATAATAATCATGCAACTAAGTAGGGGTGACCCGGTACAAAAGTAACATTTTGTACTTTTGCTTTGCTCACTGGTTAGGTGTGATTATTTTATAGAAATGTAACCATAAAAAAAATCCGTTTATGTTCTTTACATCAATGTAATCATTTCACATTTTATTGTGTATAGTGAATGTTTTCGTAGGCTTATAAAGATGATAGCAATCTAAGAATTTGCAAATTAATTCTTGATAAGATTGATTACACAGTGTTTTATTTCGCTTTTGTCTAGCATGTTCCGCTTTAAGGTTATTTCATGTTTTAACAGAAATATGGTCGGGTTATATGAATCGCAGAGACTTTTAAAAAAATCGTTAATTGTTACTTTCGATCAGGTTGACAGGGCGAAAGTAACAGGCCTATAAGGTACGTAAAAAAATAATGTAGGTATTAAATCTCCAAATTATTTATTTAAACACTTTGTATTATAATAACATAATTATATATTGCATGAAAATTTGCATCTGAAATGCTACGATAACTCTTTGACTCTTTAGCCGCTTTTCGGTACACTTCCGTGCCAGTGGTTCCTCGGGTGGTAGTTCTGATGCGTTGTCGTGGTATCCTGTTCAAATAAATATAGATGAAAAAGGTTAACAACTCAATACGAGGACTAAAGGAACATGTTACTTATGTACCCATAGGACTATGTTACTTTTGTACCCGACCATATTTCTGTTAAAACATGAAATAACCTTAAAGCGGAACATGCTAGACAAAAGCGAAATAAAACACTGTGTAATCAATCTTATCAAGAATTAATTTGCAAATTCTTAGATTGCTATCATCTTTATAAGCCTACGAAAACATTAAATAAGAAAACGTCAAAATACTTACGTTTGACTTATGAAATCACAAAGTGTCTTCTCGCACAGCCTAACAGCGCGAGGCGGGAGGCGTGCGCGGCGCTGAATGCAAGAGTGAGGTAGCACCACCCCGCTGAAAACTTATGGTAGTGAAGCTGTGTTTGGCTATTTAATATGCCTACATAGAATTTGTTACTTTCGACTCGCCGTTACTTTTGTACCCGGTCTCCCCTACTTTTGCAAGGAAAGCGTATATAGCTAAATATTTTTTTTCGTAATTGATAGATAGACCGGATCTATGTCTGTTATTGAGTGGAGCTCATAACTTCTCGCGACTTTTTGAAGATGTTTAATCCTTCTGTTCCGCCTTTTTGACACTAGCATCTAAATACTCAATCCAATCAGTGGTAAAACCTCGCGTAAAATTACAACTAGACAATGACTAGTAGAATCGTTTTATAAGACCGGCATAGAGGGAAAGCAGGCTTGGAAAGCATGTGGGAAGAGGAATATGTTAATGAAGATTATGTGGAAAAAAAAATTGTTCATGTTTTATTTAATTTTCTTACGAGTATGTAGGCCATGAACTTAACCCACTTTGGTGGGTATTTTATTTATTGTATATTTTTGCCACCGAGTCAGTAAAGTTTGTTGCATCATACTGGAGTATCGGCCGCCGCATTATCATGTCATCAAATCAAATAAAATCAAAAATATATTTATTCACATATACTCTTGCGCGTTCTTATGAAATGTCAAAAATTTTACATAAAAATTAATACGTTCCTAAGTTACCACCGGTTCGGAAAGCAGTTTCTGTTGAGAAGAAACCGGCAAGAAAGTCAACAGTTGCTCTTTTTTAAAACGATTAGTTTACAATATAATAGGAATAGTAACAAGTATGTCATTTTAGCCTTCGTGAGTATCAACAGCATTAACCCCACACATTAGCGTCGTCAAGATATTCTGCAATGGTATAATATGCCTTAGCCATAAGTTCGCTTTTAATTTTGCGTTTAAATTCATCTAGTGGCAGACTTAATACCGATTGTGGGATTTTATTATACATTCACACACTTTGCCCCATGAACGATCTATTTACTTTTTGTAGACGAAACAATGGTGTAATTAATTTGTCCTTATTTCTAGTATTTAATTTATGTCTGTCACTATTCTTTAGATAACAATTAAGATTATGTCTAACGTACAAGATATTACAATAAATATATTGGGACGCAACAATGAGTATATTAATCTCTTTAAAAATATCTCTGAGTGTATCCCGAGCTCCGATGTTATAGATTGCTCGGACAGCTCTTTTTTGAAGAATAAATATAGAATTTATATCAGATGCAGATAAGATGCTGTGAAAATAACTAAAGTAAACAAGTCTGGCAGTGTCGATGTCTGTTAGCTGTCTAACCTTCCTAATCGCAAAAACAGCGGAGCTTAGCCTACTCGCAAGAGATGATAGATCGGGACTCCACAGAAGCTTTGAATCTACTGTAATCCCCAAGAAAACTGCAGACTCAACAGGATTGAAGGATACAGTATTTAATAATAAACTAAAACTTTGCTTTCTCACACTAGGAAGAGAAAAAGAATACATTTAGTTTTTTTGGCATTCAATACCATATTATTTATGGTGAACCAGTGAAGGATATGCAAAAGTGCACCATTTACGTCGTCATAATTGGATAAATTTCGGTCAACCTTAAATATGAGTAATTTAACAGCAAACAGTACAACATCACAAAACTCACTGGCATAAGAGGGGAGATCATTTATATACAGGGTGTTACAGAAAGATGTTGTAACATTTAAAGCCGTGTATATATATCAGACTTTGAATGAAATGGCATAATTTTAAAATACGAATCTGAGCATTTTTTGACGATAAAAATTAAAAAATTAATAAACTGTAACAACCCTGATTGTAGAAGTCACTGACCGCCCATCGGTGTTATCACTCCAAACTCACACACGCATACATCTGATCGCCCGACTTATTCCCCTCTCCCTCCACTCCTCGTTACGTCATTACCCCACTTCCCGCTCCTCAAGTTTATCGGTCCCCTCCGCCCGCCCCTCGCCAACCAAACTTTGACAACGACCGCATCGCGCTGCAGGTCCTGGCGATGCTATGAAACAACGTGCTTATCATAAAAATTTATTTGAATTTATCGGATTTTGTCACAACAGATAGACACGAAATAGCTATACTGGTAGCCCTACTTAATATGTTATTGACTTTTCTTTTGATTAAAGATAGGTATTCATTATAAGGAAATAAAACACAAACACACTATTTTTACTACGTTTATTTTTCAAAGCAAATATCCGCGTCATACCTACATAAAAACATTTTTTACATGGAATTAATAATAGAATCCTATAGTTGGTCAAACATATTCACAATGTCCACTGTAACTTATAATTTTTTAGTATTGAGATTTTGAATTAAACATTAAATTGCTTGCAGTGGAAGGTACAAACATTTTAGAAGGTTACACTTACTCACAAATCTTACAACGCCGATAAATTTATTCAACACAACATCAGTGAGATACATTATCATGTTATAGCGGATACATAATACATAATAATGACAAAAATAAATTTCGAATTAAGTAAGTTCAATGTAATTATAAAGTTAAAACAATAAAATCTTTATTTTAAATAAATAACCTATACCTAGACATTCCAATGAGATCAGCGTTTACTAAGAAAACTCGTGCTTATCGGTGTCGGTCGGTTCCATTACGCGATAATATTCTTTCACTGTTATAGCACTTCAGCACTTGGGATAGTCATTGTCACTAACTTAAAACACAACAAGGTCAAGGGTTAAGGGGACGACGCATATAGGGCGCGGACGCAGACGAGGGCCGATCCTACCAACTCCTTTTAACACAACTGGCAGCTGTTCTAAATTTATTTCAGCATTCTTGCTTGCTGTCTTTTGGCGTTTCTTCTTAATACTTATGGCGTCAAAGACTGCCTGTCATCGAAAAAACCAATAATGTAGTTTTAAGGTAAATCGACGGCATTTCTCTCCGCAACACCGAATATTATTAAGCAATTTCTTAGCATATGCATTTCTGTCATCAATAACTAATCGAGAATAAAAAATAAAAATCACGAACTTGTCTTCACACCGTAATGTCTAAAAAGTAACTGATTGTGATTTAATTAAAAGTTTAAATAACACAAACGAAGCGACGGCATATTTTATGTATTGGACTACCTAAGCGGCATTCGGCTGCTTATGTCGTTAAGTACATAAGAAACGTTTGTTGAGGACTATTTCGCCGATCGCATAATAATGTTACCATGTCTACTGAGTAATATTACAGGACGGGAGAAAATAATTGGCTATTTAATTTTCAAATCAGCATAGCTATAACAAAAACTTTT